TGAAAGGGAAAATAAGCGAGGAAATACGGTAAAATACATAATGATGTCAAAATATTTCTTCATTGTCCTTACAAACCAATCATAACAACAACAACAACGACAACAACAAATATTAATTAATAACAAATTGAGTAATAATAACATCAACAACATTAACAATAATAATTAATAATAATAACAATAACAACAACCATAAAGTTATTAACATAGTGATAGCATTAGCAATAAACTGTTAATTTATACCCTATTGTAGACGATACTAATTTAGAAACTCATCGCAAAGCCTTATGCTATTATAACTTCATTCATAAAAAAATTTCAATTTTACTCATTTTCACGCACGCACATACACACGCACACACACACACACACATATATATATATATCACACACACACACACACACACACACTTATATATATATATATATATTTGTGTGTTTGTGTGTGTGTGTGTGCCTATGTGCATGTTAATGTGTGTCAGTATGTTTTCAAAGCTATCCAACTAGTAAATTAATTTACAACATAAAGACAGACATACACACTTACGTGTAAATATTCAACCATTCACACATACATACAGACATACAAACATACATAAACATACACATGTATATACATACGCACAGGTAATGAAGACCACACACATACATATGAACAAACAGACAGACACACACACACACACACATACACACTCACAAACACACCGACACACACATTCATACCGCTTTTTATGGCACTTCTGGGGCCAAATAAATATTGCTTATAAATATATACAATCATACATACATACATTCATACATACAAACACACAAGTAAGTGTATTAATTTGAAACATGTTGAAGTGTGTATGATTTATACATAGTATAAACGTTAATTAAGTGTTGGGAAATTAGAAGGAGTAAGAAAAAAAAATACAAAAAGAGAGTATATATAAATATAAATAAAAACATATACATATATATAGAAAGAGAGAGAAAGAGAGAGAGAGAGAGAGGGGGGGGGGAAGAGAGAAAGAGAAATTTAAAGAATTGATTTTGCCAACTCGAGATGATAATATTGCTTGTAAGTTTTACGATTTATTTTTTTTTCAACCATATCATCATCATCGTCGTCGTCGTCGTCTTTGAAGATGTTACTGGCCCTTATCGCCGTACCGTCGGGTCTTTTTTATTGCCATTTAACGGCTTACAATAACTTTTTCAAACAATTTTATGTATGTATGTATGTATGTATGTGTGTGTGTTTGTATGTATGTATGGATATATGTATGTATGCATGTATGTATGTATGTGTGTTTGTATGTATGTATGGATATATATGTATGTGTGTATGTATGTATGTGTGTTTGTATGTATGGGTGTATGTATGGATGTATGTATGTATGTATGTGTGTTTGTATGTATGGGTGTATGTATGGATGTATGTATGTATGTGTGTGTGTTTGTATGTATGTATGTATGTGTGTATGTATGTAAGTATGTTTTGTATCATTTTTAATGAATTCATCATTTGTAAGTACAAGTTATTTCATTTTTCCGCTTTGTCGTAACTTTTGTTGATTATAGAAGATAAAATGATAATCTAAGTGTGTTGTGTTAGTATGTCTGTCTGTCTGTCTGTTTGTATGTATGTCTGGCTGTCTGTCTGTATGTTTGTATTTGCATTTATAAATGGGGCTTTTATTGTTTGTAGAAACAGAATCGTGGAGAGCTGTTATAGATAACACGGCGAATATGTCATACTTGTACCCTGTTTTTGTTGCTATTATTAATTATAATGGCATTGCTATTGTTGTTATTATTGTTGTTGTTGTTGTTAATGTTATTATCATTGTAAGTGTGATTTGTTATTTTAACTGTAATTATTCTACACTATGAGTTTTATAAATTGTGGGACACAAGACTTATCCGCAAGATCGGACGCAAATAAACAAAAATCCTACAAACATGAAAGAATAAAATACGTTAACAACAATAACAAAAACAACACATCTACAACAACTTCTACTACTACTACTACTACTACTACTACTAGTACTACTACTACTACTACTACTACTACTATTACACACGCACATATACACAAACACACACACGCACACACAGATAAGTGTCCAGTTTAATTAAATGATCGTTAAAATGTCTGAAATCCAGATGACAACAGCCAAATGTATGTACAACCACTACTACTATTGTTAATACTACTACTACTATTTCTACTGCTGCAGCTGATACAATCGCTGCTGTTGGTACTACTGCTATCACAACTGCCACAACTACTTCTGCTGCTGCTACTACTCTTGCTTCTAGAAGTACTAAACACTACAGTAAAACTAAACAATGGTATTTATTATTTACTGTTACGAAAATAAAACTTATTATTATCGTCACAATAATCGTCATCTTCTCAATCATCCTAATCATCATCATCATCGTCATCATCATCATCGTCGTCGTCAACATCATCATCATGAACCTGGATTTTAATTTTTCATTGATGAGATAGCCGGCCGTTTTATGAGCGGATAATTTAAGTTTGCATGCAAATTGGGTCAGGATGAATGAATAAATGAATGAATGAATGAATGGATGAATGAATGGATGAATGAATGGATGAATGAATGGATGAATGAATGAATGAATGGATGGATGAATGAATGAATGAATGAATGAATGAATGAATGAATTAATGAATGGATGGATGAATGAATGAATGAATGAATGAATGAATGAATGAATGAATGAATGAATGAATGAATGAATGAATGAATGAATAAATGAATGAATTAATGAATGAATTAATTAATGAATGAATGAATGGATGAATGAAAGAAAGAAAAGAGTACGGGTGAATGAATAAATGAATGAATAAATAAAAAGAGACTAATACACTCTTCCAAACGAATGAGTGAATGAATGATGAACAAATGAGCAGATTATTGAATTAGTACCAAGTATCATATCGTTGTAGTTATAATTAAAGGAATATTTTATTATCATTACCATCATTTCCATCATCATCATCATCTTTTTCTTTGTTTTTCATCATCGTCACCATCAATTTCTTTTTCTTTCTTTTCTTCATCACCATCATCACCACCACCATCACCACCATTATCATCACCATTATCATCATCGTCATCATCCTCACCATCACCATCATCATCATCACCATCATTGTCATCATCGTCGTCGTCGTCATCATCTTTGGCAACATCAGAAACATCATCATCTTTAACCTTTGGTAAATTTACAATAGTTTCAAAGGCCCGTAACGATAATGTTTATACTTGCCATGCCTCAATAAAGCAAGTTCAATAAAAACAAAAAAAAGATTGTTGCACACACGCACACACGTACACACACACAAACACAAACATAGACACATACACAACACACACACAACATTACATAACAATATGTAAAAATATATATATCTTAATATACATACTATACCGCTATAGCTACTGCTACTATACTGTTTGTACTAATTTTACAATTGCCGCGGCTTCTACTACTACTACTACCACTATTACTACTACTATTACTACACTACTACTATTACTACTACCGATAATACTACTACTACCGATAATACTACTACTACTACTACTACTACTACTTCAGAAGTGACGAACAACATCAACGTCAGAAATAACATATCACAACACAAAAACGCCCTTGCGTATGGGGTATGGATGGAGTTATTGGGGCGATATTATTATTATTATTATTGTTATTTTTTTTATTATTGTTATTGTTGTTATTGTTTTTTTTATATTATTGTTGTTGTTATTGTTGTTATTGGCAAGAAGAATTTAAATAGCAATAATAATATATCAGGGAGCGAACATCATCGCTAATGACTTTCTTACCTAGTTTGCTCACGATGTTAGTATTCTTGTTTATATTGTTGTTGTTGCTGCTGTTGTTGTTGTTATTATTGTTGCTGCTGTTGTTGTTATTGTTGCTGCTGTTGTTATTGTTACTGTTGTTGTTGTTGTTACTGTTGTTGTTGTTACTGTTGATGTTGTTATTGTTGTTGATGTTGTTGTTGATATTGTTGTTGTTGTTGTTGCTGTTGTGTAATACTAACTTAGCGAGTTAAATATGATTTACTCTGATATATAATGCGACAATGGGTCTCACTTAATTGTTTTTTTCAAACACACGCACACATACACACACACACACACACACACACACACACACGCACACACACACACACATACATACATACATACACACATACATACACACATACATACACACATACATACATACATACATACATACATACATACATACATACATACATACATACATACATACATACATGCATACATACATAGTCAACAAAGTTATCTAAGACAGCCCGAACTGACAGAAAAATCGTTCAAGAAATTATTGAAATCATTTTTGTTTTCATTATAAAATTTGGTTTATCGTAGCAATTTAACTGTTTTTTTTAGATAGTGCTTATGAGAAACATTTTGTTTGTAATTAGCTCTATACAAATTTTCAAAAATAATAATAATAATAATAATAATAATAATAATACATTCATACACACATACATACATACAAACAAACAAACATATACACATAAATACAATTACTTGTTTGTTTATCTTCTTTAAAACTGCTGAAACAAAGCAAAATTTTATGTTTTATTTCCGTAAAAATAAAAAAATAAGACTATACAAAAACTTATTATTATTATTATTATCTGTAGTAATAATAGTAGTAATAATAGTAACTTGTAGATATAGAAATAGTATAGAAGTCTTGATAATATTATTATTATTATTAGTAGTAGCAACAACAACAATAGTAGTAGTAGTAGCAGCGGTAGTAGTAGCAGTAGAAGTAGTTGTAGTAGCAGCAGCAGCAGCAGCAGTAGTAGTTGTAGTAGTAAAAGAAGGGGCAATGATATTGATATAAAGATGGAATATTTTTATAGTTAGAATGTTTCAAATGTGACTCATTGCTATCAATTATTAGACCATTGTCGTTGTTAGCTTAGTAAATTTTTTTGTTTTTGTTGTCGCAACTTTATCAGCAAGAATCGAGATGTTGTTGCTGTTGTTGTTGATGTTGTTATTGTTGTTGATGTTGTTGTTGATATTGTTGTTGTTGATGTTGTTATTGTTGTTGATGTTGTTGTTGATATTGTTGTTGTTGATGTTGTTGTTGTTGTTAGTGTTGTTACTGATCGTTCTATTACAAGTTGCTAACGTTGATGTTGTAGTTGTTGTTGCAGACGTCGTTGTTGATGTGTTTGTTGCAGTTTTTGAAGATGACGATGGTGGTGATGATGATGATGATATTGTTGGTGATAGTAACGCTGATAATATTGTTTGCGGCGATAATGATGATGATAGCGAAGATGTTTGTGAAGCTAATGGCAATGAAGATGACGACGACGACGACGATGATGATGATGGTAATTTTAAAGATAATGATGATGATGATGATGCTGGTAGTGGCGGTAATAGTAATGATTTGATTTTTGGAGGGGGCGGGGGTTGCAATGAAAAATGGACGGTTTTGTCTTGCCCTGTTAATTTGTTGTTATTGTTGATGATGTTGTTGTTGTTGATGTTGTTGATGTTATTGATGTTGTTGTTGTTGTTTTTGTTGTGGTTGTTGTGGTTGATGTTGTTGTTGTTGTTGTTATTGTTATAGTAGGTGTTGTTGTTTCTGTTGTTGATGTGATTGTTATTGCGGTTGTCCAGCACTTTCGACGATAATTTCATGCAACTATATGGAATTGTGCGTTCGATCGGTGATGGTATGCAGTTTTTTGCTTTGTTGTTGTTGATGTCGCTGTTGTTGTTTTGGAATGTTACATACTTGTAGTTAAACAAATTGTTTTGTTGTTGTTGGTCTTTGTTGTTTGTGCTTGGCAATGTAGAATTACTATACGCTGTTGTTGTAGCTGTTGCTAGATGCTGAGAAAATGTTAAAAACGTCTGGAAAGATGTGTTGTTGTTGCTGTTGCTGTCGTTGTTGTCGCTGCTACAAATGTTGTTGTTGTTAATGTTTTTGTTGCTGAATTCAATTTGTCTATGTGTATTTAAGTTTGACACTAACGCAGAGAATGATAAGGCTCTCTTAAAATAATTATCGTTGTAACTATCATTAGCAGCATTATTATTATAATTATTATTATTGTTATTGTTATTATTGTTGATGTTATTGTTGTTGTTGAAAGTATTGTTGATGTGATTTCGATAAGATTGTTGTTGATGCTTTTGGAATGTTGAAAACTTTCGCAAACCACCGAGATCAACATTTTCATCAACAAATTTCAATGTCACAACATTACGATCATTACCATAATTGTTGTTGAAATCACTATTGTTATTGTTGTTATTGTTGTTGTTGTTGTTGCTTTCTTCGTCATCGTCGATTACACAGTTGTTATGGTTACTGCCTTCAAAAATAAACGGTTTTGTTGTTGTTGTTGCTGCTGCTGTTGCAAAATTGTTAGCAACAATGTTGTTGTTGTTGTTTTGTTGTTCTACTTTTGTTGCAACAAATCGCTTTCGCTTTCGATCAGTTCTTAATTTAGCTCTGTGCCATATGATGCAAGCGAGGATTATGACATTTATAGATGTTATGGAAATACCAAGCGATATTATGGTTGTGTAGTTGTGTTTGTTGTTGTTGTCGTTGTTGTTGTTTACAATCTGAGATGTTTTTGTCGTACGTGACTGTAGCTTGTTTGGTGATACTTTGTAGT